AAGAGGAAATGGGGACACTCTAGTAGAATTTATTAGAAACTAGGCCACATATATTATAAAACAAATTGTTTTACTCCATAATTCCAAGGAAAAACTTCCCATCAAAATCACAGTGATGCCTTAGAAAAACACATTTTAGGATGAACTGGCTGGAATACATCTGCATGTTTTTAGAATAATAACCAAAAATCCTTTGAAAATGGCCAGTGGTAACTTGCAGATGTAATTTGCAGTGATTAGATTCACACACTGAGTGGAAGCTTACTAATGAGCTTGTGCCCGGGGAAGCTTTACGAGAGAGCTCCCGAGTGGGTTATTAGCTCTTTTAGAAGAACAGCCTTAAAAGAGCAGCAGACTAGATATTTAAGCAGCTGCAATTTAATAAGAACAATAGAAAGCATAAATCTGCATCCATAATTAATTTTGTTTTTAATTAATAACGATGAGCAAAGATTTTATCGTAACATACCCAATAATTGCATTTAGAAGTTGATATTTGAGAAGAATCAAAAGGGAAAAATTTGATTAGAATGTTAGAATGTTAATTACCTTTCCTCCCCTTTGAGTTTCTCACCAAGGAGTATAAACATAAAGATGAGAGGGAAAATGAGAAACAAATGACCACTTATATATCTGCACAAACAACTGAAAACCACCAGTGTTTGGGGGTTTTGATAAACAGTTTAAAAAGATAAACGTTTTGATAAAAGATGAATTCGGATGGCAAGCTTAGGGTAGGACACAGAAATGAGGCTTCTTGCTTCTTTCCTTCTCTGGCATTCTGCCCACCACTCCAGTCTCCTAAAGTCTCTGCTTTTTCATCCTAAACTTCAGAGTGGATCTTGATCCTGTAATTCAAGAAGAGGTCAATGCACAAGACAACACCAGTACAAGAAGAAAAAACAATGAGGCAGAGGCAAGAACGCACACATGTACATGCCAAAAGCAGGCCTGAGGGCTTACATGGTTGGCAGGGCAGTGGCCTGTGCCAGGAAGCCCGGAGGGAGCAGAGTTGAGAGGGACTGGAGAGGGAAATAAACCCTAACCCTCTTATCAGGCCGACAGCATCTTAGGAAGCAG